GGGAGAAGTGCAGAGGTACCTGGGAAGTCAGATGTCCAGCAGGTAGTGTGTCATAAATCCAATGTTTATATTGAGTACATGAGTTTCTGTACCTACTATGTAGGTGGCTGATGAAGTGAAGTTCATAGGCACAGCTGCCTCTTCACTCTCTCAGGCTCAGGCACAGGCTTCTCCTTGCTGCTTCTGGAAGCCTCATCCCTGCTGGGTGTAAGAAAGAGTCTATGTCTCAGTTTGAGGGGGGGGAACTTATACTTCTCCCTCTAGCGGCTCTTCCTCCCCTCCCTGAAGGATTGCCAGCTGCTTTTCCACCACATTTCATGGTATATTTCATAGTTTCTTGTTTTTATACAAATATATAACTGTATCTGTGTTCCTATATAAATTCTATAAGTATATAGTATATGCCACAAGATATAAATGTATTGAAATAAAATACAAATGTATCTCCCTTCCTATATAAATTCTATAGTGTAATATCCAATATAATTATAAAATTGAAAAGAATAAATCAATGAATATAAGAATAAAATAAAGGTGTCTAAAAGAAAGAAAAAGGTACTGTGGAATCCCACTTGCTAGGGTAGGCTAGCAAGTAGGAAATCATTCAAACCAATGCTAGTAGTAGCCTTTGTTGTCTAACACTCCTGAGCTGCTAGAAGACACAGTTCAGTAACTGTCAGACCCTAAAACAGAAAGCAGGCCAGTTCAAACAATGCTGCCCTTTATGCTGCTTTTCTATCCTTCCCCCAGAGCACTGGAATTGGAAGGGACCTCAGGAAAGGATCACAGTCACTGGCCAGCTACACAGGCAATATGAGAGCAGTCCTTTCCCCCTCTTCCCCCTCCCTCCCCTTACTTTCTGTTTCCCTGCAGGCAAGCCCAGCTTGAGCTTTGAAATTCGAAACATTTTAAAACTTTTGAAACATTTTGATTGCCCTCGTTTCATTTCAAGGCTGTTTTGAAGCCCATTTCTTTTCAATGTTGCTGTTTGAAGCTCAAAACAAGTTGAAACAGTGTCAAAATGAAACAGCCAGAGAAATTTCACACAGCCCTAATATACATACACATATACATATGCATATACAGTTAAATCCTTAAAGACCAACTCTGACCATTTTTCAATTAATTCTACGAACCATAAGACTTACAAATCTAAACAGAGTTAATTTACATTACTAGTTCTTCATATATGTTACTAGAAACTAATGTAGCCATAACAGGGTGTTAATAGAAAATTAAAGGATTTGGTTTCCATGTTAAATAGTTAACTAACAAGATGTTAGTGTAATTATTTCTTGTGAATGGCAGTTGTTTTGTTCTTCTCCTAAATATGCAAAAAACAAAACAACCTAAAACACCATAATCTTCATAAGCCTCACTGAAGAGGAAAATGCTTTTTCTAAAAAGATGCAATTGCTTGAAGAAAGCTTATGTAAATATGATATTTAACATATCCCCTGAATAAAAAAAAGCTATAGAATTAACACTTTACTTTTGTGTTCTGTTTTGTTTGTTTTAAGGAATAAACTGTGAGCTGGAAATTGATGAGTGTTTGTCACAGCCTTGTTCAAATGGTGCAACCTGTCATGATTCTTTGGGTAACTATTTCTGTTCCTGTGCACTCGGATTCGTAGGTGATCTCTGTGAAATCAACATTGATGAATGTGCCAGCCAGCCATGCCTCAATGGAGGGCAGTGTATAGATGATGTCAATAGGTATGTATTCTAGAGTAATTAATATGCAAGAAGTGACAAATGTCTTTTATCTTCTCTGCTAATAATTGAAATAATACATATCTCTGATACCAACTGATTTCAGTGCAAATTTGGAAGGCATTAAGGAATGCAGAATTGGTCCCAGATCTGGCAAAGTAGTGAATGCTTGTTGTATATATTGATTTATACTTTAAAAAAATCTACTATTTAAAAAAATCCAGCTCTGGACAATGATTATTTAAAGGTAAATTCAACACTGTTCTGCTGAAGTCCGCCAACACTTTAGTTTATTAGCCAAGCTGGGGAATTGTATAAGATATATGATCACAGCTTCCCTCAGCTGTCTACTTTGCTGAATAGAACCATCAAAAAAAGTGGCAAAAGAGGTACGGTAAAATCTTTGTTATCCAGCGTAAGTGGGGAATGCTGGGTGCTGGTTATGTAAAAATTACAGATATCTAAAAATACTAGAGCCGGGGGAGGAGGGGAGAAATGGAGCTTGCATGCAGTAACAGTGGTGTGGGGTGGTGGATGGTGGTGGCAGCAGCGTGGTGCCAGTCAATAGAGTATTCATACAGTCATAGATCATTAGGGGCTGGAAGGGACCTTGGAGATCATCGAGTCCAGTCTCCCTGCACTAGGCAGGAAAAACCTGGGGTCAAGTGATCCCAGCAAGGTGACTGTCCTGTCTCCTTTTGAAGATTTCCAGGGTAGGTGACTGCACTATCACTGGAGGGAGTTTATTTCACAGTCTGGACACCCTGACTGTGAAAGAGTTTTTCCTGGAATTGAGCCTGAAACAGCCTTCCAGGAGTTTGCATCCATTGTTCATGGTCTTCCCCAGGAGTGACCTGGTGAACATCTGTTCACCAAGTTCTTGATGTACTCCCCTGATGTAGCAGTAAACCACTACCAAGTCCCCTATCAGCCTTGTCTTCTATAGGCTGAAGAGGCCCAAGTCCCTTAGCCTCTCTTTGTATGGCTTATCTTGCAAGTCCTTGATCATATGGGTGGCTCTTCTCTGTACCCTCTCAAGTTTTTCCACGTCCTTGTTGAAGTGCGGTGCCCAGAACTGGACGCACTACTCCAGCTGCACTCTCACCAGTGCAGAGTATAGTGGGAGTATCACTGCCTTAGTTTTGCATGAGATGCAACAGTTAATGTATGCCAACAGGTTGTTTGCCCTGCTGGCCACACCATTGCCCTGTTCATGCGATGGTCGATCACGTTTCAGCCATGGTGCAAGTCAAATTGTTGCCACTGAGCCTGTAGGTATGTTGGGGATTGTTTGCCACCAGATGGAGCACCTTACACTTCTGAGTGTTGAACTTAATCTGGTTCCAGTACGCCCAACTCTCCAGCCTGTACAGGTCCACCTGTATCTGGAACCTATCTTCTGGCATGACCACACTCTCCCATAACTTGGAGTCATCCACAAATGTGGCCAGAGAGCTTTTCACCTCAATGAAATCATTGATAAAGATGTTGAAAAGCACCAGGCCAAGCATGAATCCATGAGGGACACCACTAGCCAGTGGCCACTTCTCACCAGGACAACACAAATTCATTCATGAGAACTCTCTGGGTCCTACCATGCAGCCAGTTTTCCACCCACTAAACTGTTGAGCAGTTAGACCCACAATCTTCCAATTTTTCCACAAGGATATCATGGGATACTAGATCAAAAGCACTTTGGAGAGGTCTAGGGATATAATGTTGACCTTCTTTCCCATGTCCAGGTGGCAAGAGACCTGTTTGTAGAAGGAGATTAGATTGGTAAGGCAAGACCTACCCATGATGAAGCCATGCTGGCTGTTGTTCAGAATCTTACCCTCAATGAGCATATAACACATAGATTCTTTAATGAGTTTTTTCCAGGATTTTCCCTGGCATGGAGGTTAGGCTGATTGCCCTATAGTTGCCCAGATCCTCCCTCTTCCCCTTCTTGAAGATGGGCACAATGTTGGCCCTCTTCCAATCCTCAGGGATCTCCCCTGTATGCCACAATTTCTGAAACAGTTTTGCCAGGGGTTCCGCAATGACCTCAGCCAGCTCCATCAGCTTTTGGGTGAAGTCCATCTGGTCCTGTGACTTACAAATGTCTAGCTTTTCTAGTTGGTTTTGCACCAGCTCAGCATCCACAGCGGGAAGGCTATCATTCCCATCATGCCCCCTGTGATCCTTATATTGCTTGTCTTTCCCCTTGGTCCAGTGAAATACCAAAGCAAAGTGGGCATTCAGAAGTTCATTTTTTTCCTGAGTGTCTGTTACCAGCTGTGCCAAGGTGCTAAGCAGGTGTCCCACACTTCCATTTGTTTTCTTTCTGCTCCCAACATACCTAAAAAAGGGCTTCTTATTGTCCTTGACTCCCTTGGCTAACTTAAATTCTGTTGTCACCTTAGCTTTCCTAATCATTTCCCTACAAATGAGGACTGTTATATAGTCCTCCTTGAAGACTGTCTCTAGCTTCCACTGTGTGTACGCCTCTTTTTTCTTTTTCAAGAGGACCACAATGTCTCTATTGATCCAGGAGGACTTGCCAGTATTCCAGCTAGTAGATGCTGGATAACAGGGATTTTACTGTAATAGTAATCTTAGTACTGGATTTTGCTAGCTAGTGTTCAGGCATATAGGACTACAGGTCCCTATCCACATATACAAAGAAAAGGAAGTGAAAGCAAAAGTCCCTTTTGCCTAAAGTACGTAACCCTACAAAAAGAGCATGCAATAGGGTAGACAGCTAAAGAGTTAGTCTCTGAAGAACATGCAAAGTTAACAGTCTTAACACTGCTTCTGTGGAGGTGACAGCAAAGTCGGCATCAGCA